AGCTTTGAAAACGCACATGTAGTCAACCCATCATCTTACATTCATCACTTTGACACCCAGCCATCACCAAAATTAAGGATTAAGGATCCAACCAACGATAATTGAGGGAGGACACGAGTCACCATCGCTCGTCTCAGGCGCCTAATTATTGGATAAGTGTTTGTATTATTTAGGATAAAAACGATCTGATGATATTCGTGTTAAGAGAGTGACGCAAGTGGCGTGGTAATGAGAGGGCCGAAGAGAGTGTAAGTGTTACCTCATTAAGATCATGACTAAGATATCCCCGCCATTACATCAGTTGGAAAATGCAGCAGCAATTAAAGAGGGCCTAAGCTGTTGGTTCCTGGAGGCAACGAGAACAAACCAGCCTTCTGAAGCCCGTCTGTTCTATTCTGGCTAATGTGTGTCATGGCAATGAAAGGCCTGAACATCTTCGTTTAATTTTTAACACCCGTTCCCTTGGCCCTCTCCAACCAACCAACCAACCGCTTGGCCTTCTCAACAATAAATTATCAAGAAAATAGTCCAGGCTACTTAATACCTTTATCAAAAGCTGCATGGACGAAATTACCACAACTATAGGTTATAAATCAGGTAATACTCCAATTATTTCTGTGGATATCATAATTGGTATTAATATGCAATGACATTCTGTTTGGCTTATAATGCCCCTGTGCAGCTGATTTAATATGGGTGTTCGGCCTTTGGTGCAATGCATTTAGCTGAATAATAACACTGAATGTTTCAACAGAACATAATTACTTGAGCCATACAAATGCTGAGTGTACATATTGATCTATGAAACTTTTTTTCTTGACGACACGGGGAACTTCGGCTGGTTAATTTTATTCTGCAAACGTTGTCTTTTGTCTGCATGCACACTAGTGATTTTATACTCAAGTTATTGTGAACATTTGTAGGCCTATTTAATAATAATGCAAAAAAGGAAGCATTTTAATCAACATTTATTTATATTTTAGTTAGGCCAGCATAAGTGGTTGACTATGATTTCTTGCTATTTGTTGTAAATTGTGAATATTTTTGTCAATGTTAGGATAATCTCAATTGCATGATCCGACATGAGAAAAAGGGGGAAATGGCTGACTGTAGGCTATGTAGTGGTATGAAAATGAGGGGACACAGCCTATTAATTCAGATAGGGTTTAATGGCTTATTATTAATGAATTGGAATGGCACACCCATTCTTTGCCCAGAGCAATAAATAAATAATGTTTAGAAGCCATGCAAACAATAAAATGTATCCTTATTGGTGCTAAATTGGACATGGGTGCTGTTTGCAATACTGGTGATGTGCATATAGCTGAAACAGCAGAGCACACGTAGGCAAGGTACAATAACGATTACCAATCAGTCCTAAAGTTTTTTTTGTAAATGATTTTGTGCATCGTGTAATTCGATGCAATATATTTTTTCCTAATACATGTTCTATTTTTCGCTATTTCCTAATAAATTCTACGAAAAAGGACATATATAAAACCCTAATACTAGCCTAACTCATCCAAATGTTGCAATAGTAATAATGATGATGCACCAATAAAAATCACTGCTCTTCAGCATGCTATTCAATCCAGCCCTATAATAAATGATTTGCAAATGCGGTGGTCGTGCGAATAGCTTCTTGGTCCCTCGCCTGGGGGAGCATACATTGTTTTATCTGTATGTTAGCTTTTAATTACGAAATCTAATGGTGGACGACTGAACTCTCCCGTTTTTCTATCCTCAAATGGGAAGAACGTCTGATGCTTCTTGTGCTGAACTTCACCAATGGCCGGCTCTTCCAGTCTCTGTTGTGAATACTAATTAATGATTTTGCAAATAACGCTGCAGGAAATATGACAACAAACATTATTGTTTATGGGACACATGATCCCTATATTTAAGTGGTCTTTTCGTTATTTTTTCAACGTTGCTTTGAAGAGCTACCTTTTGTTTTACCGTGTAAGTTTTATCTGGATAGTCATAGGTTAATCATAAAGACAACAGACCAGGTTATATTCTTCTTTCATTGCTAAACTGTGAAGAAACTGCGATAGGGCTATAGCCTCCGTAAAACAGCCTATAGCGTTCCCTTGTCACTGTTGAGACCAGCAGAGGTCAACTTGGTTTGAACAGGAATTTAATAGCACAGAAATCAGCAAACGATTCACCAATTAGGGAAGCACAAACAAACGTGCCCCGAGGCGCTTCCATCCGAGAGTCAATTCACATGAAAGCGCCCCCTCGCCACTATTCTCCAGGGGACGTGAATATACCTAAAAAAGAAACTATTCTAATGTTCATTTAATTATAGTCCCGCGTGGTATTGGTTTAGCTCTGTCACCGATATAAACATACACGCTGTCCTAGATAGAGAATCAGAAAAGTATCCAAGACCCAAGACAGGTGCAAAAGGCTGAGGCCAACTGATTTATTTTGTATCCCTTTCCTGCAGTCAAATGACCTAGTAGCCTCATAGGTGGAATGTTATTAATATTTTTCATAATTTCATAATTAATCAACATTATTTAAACAACAACAACATCTGGTGTTTCTATGTCAAACAGTTTTGTCATATTTCAGTCTTCTGTGATGTATATAAAGTGTAATATTGGGAAGCAAACTCAAAATGGAATACATTTCAGCTCTTTTTTTTTTTCTTTTTTTTTTTGTCATTAAGCAGACGCTCTTATCCAGAGCGATTTACAGTTAGTGAGTGCATACATTTTCATACTGGCTCTGTATCTGACATGGTACAGGTGTCTTCTTTTTTGTAAGCCCATAACCATGTTTGTGAGGTGTATACTTTTGCTTCAAAGTAGATTTGTTTTAAACTACCAAGAAACACTGTGTGACCCTGATTTTACCCTCTGCAGTAAACTAAGGAAAAAAGTTAGGCTTTGATATTTTGCGCAGTAGCTCTAATACTGGTTTGTTTATATCTCATAAATCACTGCCCTCCCTGGCCCTAATAAGTCAAATGTTTTCGCTTACTAGGCATGAGCATATATCTGAATCTGTTTTAGGTAGGCTAAATGTTCTTTTTTTCTTCAAGAAAATGTATTAAAATGTTCCGTTTTCACAGTAAAGTCAACGGATATTGCTGTCCAAAATAAGGACAACGAACAACGGAAAATGTTTAGTGTTGTTTAATTTATTTGTTTTTTTGTTTTAGTGTCAGTGGACTTTTTGATCGCTCACGCTGAGAACCCTCGCGCTTGCTGTCTGTCCGGAGCGCTTGTCTCGAGCATTGTGCTCCCATAGAACAGCTGCTGCGGGAGGACCACCTTCCCGATTCCCAGGGTAGCAACCCAGCATCACAGCTAATCAAACCATTCATTCTCACCATCATAGAGAGAGGGAGAGCTAGCTGCCTGCTGCATATGCATTTAGGCTACAAGGGTACAGTTCTCGCCATATGAATGCGGTCACAAGATAAAGTGAAAAGTAGCCTAAAGAAAGTCCCATATAGCCTCATGTTCGATTTAATAAAAATGTAGTCCTAACTTTGAATCTGTAGGTGCTTTAAATATATAGGAAATATATGGTTAGGAAATAAATGGTAAACATTTAAATCCGGGGATTCAAGATGAAGATTAGGCTACGGATAAAAAACGAAATCCTGTATGTTCATTATGTAAAATGAATAAAAAATATTATCATTATAATTCATGCTACAGAGGTTATTTTAGGAGTTATCGTTTTGGCTCATTGATAACATAATTGACTGTACGTTATCAAAATATAAACACACTTTGTCTTTTTAGGCCTATCTCATATTAACACCATACGCTTTTAGCCTGCAGACATTTTAATGCCAAATGGCTTTTTGAATGTTTGGATGACAATGCAGTTCCAAGTTCAGGCTGGCAGCCCCCGACGTCTTACCCAATAGAAGTATCCGAGAAGATTAATGTTAGTATCATTCCGTCTTTATTCAACCCTTTTCTCCATCTAATAAACTTTATAAGTTTATTTGCTAGTATAAGTGTATTTGTACAAAAAACAAACAAACAATCAGACATATGAACAGTCCTTTTTCTGTTATGGCCTCGACTCGATGCTGCAGACAGATCGTGGTTACGTCAGAACTGGCTCTCAGTCATTAAATATTACCTCCTTCTCCTTCTGTAAAATTGTCTTTCATATATTGTCTTTTTCAAAAGTATTGTTCATCGTTCTGCGCAGTTACTCACATCACATGTGGTTAAAACAGTTTTTGTGATAGGAATCGTCTTGTTTCTACCGCTGATGCTGCGTGCCGGGCATGGGGTTACCCAGCGGGTTCAATGCCGGTTGGCCCCCCGGCCCAAGGCCATGGATGAGTACTCTCGGGACAAGGGGTCTCTGGAGACCGGGATGTGGTTGCTGCGGAGTCCGGTACATACTGCTGTACATTGCTGCGGCTGCGGCGGCTGCTGTCGTGCTGTCCATTGTGCCCAACAAGCTCGGGTGGTAGAAATAGGGCGACGGGAACATTCTTTGTAAGGCGGAATAATTTCCGGCTTCAGCCAGTAGCTCTAATCCGACCGCTGTCTGTCTTTTCCACTTCGTCCTGAAATCAGATCAAAATACAACAAATCAATTATTAAACCGGTTCAGGCTCCGAGAATTCCCAAACGGGCCCTTAATTGGTGAGGCCTAATTATTTGCAGCATGAATCGGTGGTTATGCCTTTAATTAGCCTAGGCAAAGGACGTGTAGCTACATCCAGAAAATGTATTTCAAGTGTACAGTGCAATGCCTATATTTGGTTGATAAGATCATAGATTAATTTCAGATCATTACTCCCTCATTTGATCCTTCTCGTAAGGCCTCTGTATAAGCTAACCAAGTACGCTGTAAACATTGGCAGATTTACTTGAAGATGTTAAATTAGGCCTAAATAATTTATAAACACGTATGTGTTGTTTTACTATAGGCTGCTACATTCAACGAGAAAGATAACTGCAGGATCGAAAAAATGATTGCAGTCATAACATATTTCGTCATTATATTGGGATGTGTCTTTGTATTAGTAGGTGGGCGTTGCTAACACTAATCTTGGCTGACATATTGGGGAAATCTTAACACTGACGCCAGAGAGGCAAATTGTGCATTGTCAACATCATGTGTTGTTCAGATAGACTTTCATAGTCCCAGAGTAACGTGTATTTCAATAACCAATACCATGGAATAAAACTATGTGGGTTCATCTTGTAAATCATTTAAATATCCTTGTATGTTCCATGACAACCATTTTGATTAGGCCTGTTTAATTATTCCCCTTGATCTGTTCTTAAGTTATTCTATTCTATTCTATCTGTTCAGTAGGCCTAATTAACTTAAATGTAGCACGTTATGGGCCTGCATGAAAAGGCAGCAAAAGCGAAATACACAAAAATAACCTAAACTGCACTATTAATTAGGAACGAAATTAACTGACCAACACATGCATCCACCTTAAATCGTGTTATTATAGGCTGAAATTGCATAGGCCTACTACCGTTATTAAAATGTTATAATCTTAATAGTATTATATTAATGTGTGTAATAATACCAACGTCACCACCAACAAAAACCATTAAATAGGCTTAATAAAAAATTGGCTAATATTAATAATAGCCTAATAATAATAGAGATTACAAAAAATACAATACAATAAAAACTTAAATTATGAAGATAATGATGCTTTATAATAGGTGTGACATACCGTCGGTTTTGGTACCAGGTTTTCACCTGTGTGTCGGTCAGGTTGAGTGCTGCCGCGAGGTCCATACGATCCTGCACGCTGAGGTATTTTTGGCGCTCGAAGCTTCGCTCCAACTGGTTGAGTTGATGGTCTGAAAAGGCCGTCCGTGCTTTGCGAGGTTTTTTTGACCGTGATTGAGGACTATCTCTGCTACTTGAAATTTCCCGTTCATTCTCTTCTTTTGTTCCTGAATGGGAAAAAGAATAGAAAATATTAATTAGTCGATAATAATTTCCATTTTTTAATAATTAAAGCCTTAATGGTTCAATGGCTCAATGAAAAATAAATTAGGAACAAATTAATTGTCTATTTGTTCTGAGCCAAAATAAGGTCAAATAGGCCTACCTATTCTAAAACTGAAAAATAGAAACCAATTGAATTAAACAGTTTTAAACTTTGAACCTCTTACAATAGCTTATTATTTCATAAAGATGAGCAGTCCAGTTGAAACTGAAGCACTGCAGTCACTGATTGCACCTGTCAGACAGCTAGGAAAAAAATCTACAGCCAACAAGAAATTCGGACTGTATTTGTCAACTTAAGTTTTTAGCAGTAAAACTGGGAAATCGATGTGTCAATCCATCTCTATTTGTAGCAGTTTCTGCCGCGCTCCTGATCCCCCCTCTAGGAAGAACAATAATCTCTCTAATTGACCCACTAGGGAGGTTTGCGCACAGGGAACATCTCGCGCCAGCCTTACATCTGTTATGCTAATAAAAAAAGGGCAACTGAAAATCAACCTTTAAATATCATTGTCTAATAAGACAGCCTTTGAAAAATGTCGTATACATTTGAAATAAGTAGACAACGTGGTCTACATTCAAGGAAGTTATATTGTACAATAGATATGTATTAGCTTACAAATAACTGTAGGCTACTACCAACATATAGCCTACTAGACTGCACTGTGAATTTGAATTTAAGATGTCCGTAGTCTTCTTCTTATTCTTGTCATTGTTGTTGTTAGACTATTATTGGCACAGTTAGCCTATTCAATTTGATGGTTATCTTCCAGAAAATATTTCTATAGGCTGCTACCAACTTTTTTAAGCACAGAAAATTCAACACTAATATGCTTTGGATGTATGCTACACACCATTAGCCTTTACTATGACAGCCTACCCAATAACAAAAAAAGGTTTTGTGTACACTAAAACCTCACTTACTCCATCCAATAACTAAAACATATTTCCATAGAAATGTATCCTAAATATTCACTTACCGTTGCATTTCATTTCCATATCCTCTCTTTTGTCCAACTTACTCCTGTTTTCATCTTGTTCCAACTTGGTCCTGAAGCCGTCCCCACTGTCCCTGGCACTCTCTGGTTTGGGGGTGTGATGGGGTGACGGTACGCTGGTGCTGTAAGGTGCGCACGCTGCCAGGGGTTTGCTGTCGCCTAAAATGTCTTTGATTAAAAACGAAGAGGTGGCAGTCCTGGGGGCACAGCCGGCTCCAGCCCCTAGCTGCTGTGGCTGGGGCGATAGCTGCAAACTCCCTGGCTGCAGGTGGTGGTGGTGCGGTAAGCTGTCTTGGAGCAGATGCGGCTCGGCGTGCTCCATGGTGACGGAGATGGGGGAAGAGGGGGCCGTTCCCACCGTATCTATGTCCGAACATGACGGGGACGGGGTGACCTGGCTCCGACTGAAATCCGCTGTCCTGCTGTCACCGAGGCGGAAATCTCCGTTCATCAGCGCAGGGTTAACAGAATTAGTAGCGTTGGATAAAATAGTGTCTATTCCAAAGTTCGAGCCGCTGGAGGATTCCATAGTAAGAAAAGCAAAAGAGATGGTGATTTAAGTCTTCATAACAACATTTGGACGCTGGTTGTATCCTCCATACTATTCAAAACTAAATGAAAATGATAAGAGAACACAAACAGAGGCACATGTACACCTAAAAGTCAAACGAATTTAAGAGTTGAAATGGTCAGGAAAATAAACAAAACCGAAATCCACGTTATATATTTCTATAAAACGGTAAGAAAAAAATACGGTCCAAGAAGATGTTGTTACATTCGATAGTAAATGAGCAGTGGGTCTGTCTGCGTAGTCCACGTCCTTTTGTGATGGGTATTGAACTTTCTCTCTAAGTTGAGGTGTGGAGATTCGGAGGGATAACTCCTGGACATCACGCTCCCCTTTTGCTTGTAATCCTTCTAGTGTTGCTCTACATTGACTTCCTATACTGACGTCACGGCTCACGGCGAGGGGAACTAATATTTTCTCCTTATCATAACGCTCTCGGCGTTTCTCTCTTCCTCTCCTGTCATTGGTTACAGCGTGACGGCCCCCGCACCTCACCAATCAGGGAGTTGTTTCTTTATCTTGACAATCTCGAGCCAGCCATTGAATTCTTGATGCTTGTTTGAGCCATGTGTAGCCTATAGGACTATGCCTAGACATAAACCTTCATGTAAGCAGAAAAAAAACAACCGAAATTGCTATGTTTTAAAGGAGTGTTGAATAGGAAGAAACTAAAACGCAGCACTGGAAATTCAATTGCATCAGTCTTTGTTTTTATACAGTGTTTGCTTTATGCACGTGTTGATTTGTTTTTTTTATCTTAAACGTTCTAACTTTAAACAATTAACTCTATTTTTTCCAGCTACAAAATTGCAAAATGCAAGAATGGATTCAACCCTTTCGAAATAACATTACAATATGTTTCTGCTAAATTGTAACATGCGTGACATGTTTAATATGTCAATGGTTTATTTTCCGTGACATAGAATCATCTATGGTTGTATTTTTTGTGTCAGGCTTCATTTCCGTGACATAGAATCATCTATGGTTGTTTTTTTGTGCCAGGCAGTTGTGTAGCTTTAGGGAAATTGTGGGGTGAATATTGTGCATTTGCCAAACCACATTTTGGTGTAGCCTATTTTCCAGATTAAGTTTAATCATATTTCATCCATTGTGTATTGTATTGCTAGGTTTTTTATCATCCAAAACCATATGTCTAGCCTATTATGTATGTATTATACCAGTGTTAATACATTGCAGGGATGTGAACAGAGACAGGGAGATAGTGATGAGATCTAGCGTTACATGTCTTCGTAAATGGGAGGAGTGGTAACTGTCATGCCAGCACACAGCTCTCCACTCTAATTAGTACAGTAATTATGAGGCACTAATGAAGGATCAAAATTATTATAATTTTACTACTTTCTGATGTGGAATTGAAGGACAGATGATAACGTTATATTCCTTTCTGGAATTCGTTTTATTTGACATAATGGCATGCTGTGGGTACAGGCTCTATACATTTTCTAGTCCATTCTATGGTGCTCTAAAAGATTCCTGAAATTCTTGTTCTGGTATTTGTTCCTGATTGAGCGACACATGCTACACCTGGGTCTGAGGAGTAGATGTCAACATTGGAATTTTTTTCTGCAGATTCTCTCTCCTCTGTCTCCCTCTCCCTCTCTCTTTCTCTCTCTCACTGCAGCAGGTTTGTAGTGTGATTATGGTGATGGTGTTTTCCCGAGCTGGCCGCGGCGGTACCAGACCTGTTAGAAACACTATTCTGCAACGGATCACGCTGATATTTGGTCTTTGGCACGGGTTCCACTGACACACTAGCGTGGGACTAGTCATCCTAGGTTTGTAGTCCTTTGATATCTGTTCTCTGACTTTAAATTAAATTAAATTGAGAACATTGAATTACCATTGATTTTACTCGTTGTTATTTGTTAATTGTATTTTATTATGATTACACCAACATATGATTATAACTTTGTTATTTCATTCGAAGCTAGGTTATTTAATGTGAGAGTTCATAGGTCTAATTTAAAAACGATCAAACACATATTGCACTTAAGTTGTAAAAAGTGCACTGTTAAAAATAGTAATGATTGCTAAAAATCAATGAATGTCTTTCTTAATTAATTAGGCCAATTAATATCATACATTTATTCATTTCATCCTGAAACGGCTTAAACTTTGAGGGAATTGATGAATTGCTCGGCTTATGAATATTATCGACAACTGCAAAGAAGGTGTTCGATGGAACTCAGCTAACGTTGTTCACGGACACAGACAGGTTATCGACTAAATCGTTGGAAACTAAGCTCTCATTAACATTTTCAATATTTGTAGCTTTCTGTCCAATCCAAGTCCCATATAGGCTACATATTTTGTATTGCTGTATTTAGTATATGATATTTTGTTGCTGGCTATTCATTCATATAAATATAGACATACAGTTGTGATCTGTGGTTGAATAGCCTAAAATTACAGCCTATATTATATACCTTTTATAGATGTTGCATGTATTTTTCCAAGATGTAACACCATTAAAATAATTGCCATGTTGCATAGGTGGAATTAACAATAATTTACCATGACAAAGTTACGAGATTTATCAAATAAAATGGAAAGATGTGGAAAGTAAAATGTAATATTTACACCGATTTTGATTAACTAGAATATCGAAAGTGATTCATTGAGAGGGGCTCTTTTGGAATGCGCTCCTCTGGTGCACCACAGACAGATCAGGCTTGATCAGACGAATTCTCCTCACAAGGCGGCGACAAAGATAGCATACTAGATTATTATGCGCAATAATGCTATATGTCAGGTGAATTTCAAGTTGATAAAATTGTGAATAAAATGTGATCATTAACGAAACTTCTGTTGGGATTTGTCGATTTTAATAGCAATATCAAATTGTTTTAAACCGTTGTAGGACTATTCAAACTTTTATGAAAGAATAACTTTCCTACGTGTCCATATATAATGGACACAGGTTTATCTATCTGGCCTACATATAGGCTACAGGTGATAAAATAAACAAAAACATTCTTATTAGCCTAACTACGTTTTAAGTTACCTTGATTTCAGTTCCAAAATGGATAACATTACGTCAAACACAAGGTTAGGTGGTGGTGTGTATTGATTTAAGCCACTTTATTAGAATAGGAATGATGTGCTAGAACACATAGTTCACGGGTGTACAATGTCTAAGTCCACCACAGTGTGGGAGATCAACAATCTATATGCAATTTATTTTTCTATTTACCTTTCTCTCTCTAAAGTACAAATCACTAGAGACGATCAAAGCGATGGTAAAACATGCCAGTCAATCTGTTAAAGGGAACATTGCATGTTCATTAACAGACAACTAATTGAAACGGCTCTTTGACCAACAATCAATCGCTTTATTGGGTTTAAGGGCGCAGCAGGAACAAATTGAATGCTACCAGTTAAGGTATCGTCTTATTAGCCGCGGCTGATGGTCGATGATCGGACAGTGAAATAGTAGTTTGCTCCACATTGATTATCTCGCTGCTCTGTGTAGAAGCTGTCACTCCAGTCCACTGCCGATCGGTCGACCTATGCTTTGGCCAGTTGTAGCCTTTATACAGAGGCAAGCCACATTACGCGGTCAATCACTGCAGGCACGTAAGGCCAACCAAAGCCAGGCCAACTAACTAAAGCAAACATTTTGATTGCATTATCTAAGCCTACAGACTTTCATAATGTCGATTATAGGCATACTTTTTAAATTAACAGTAGACTAGCTATGTGTTGAATATTGCTTCAAACTCAAACAAACGATCTGCAAAAAATGTTTGTTGACGTTTTAAATGCACAATCTTTAAGATTTCCTCCTGTTCAATTGTCATTTAAATTATAGCCACATTACTCCTAGATTTTATGAAAATGTGTAATTTGAGTACAACCTTCGTGTAACTGTTTCACCATAACCCACAATGTTCTGTTATCATTTGTCTAGAGGGCTTACCTTTCCCAAGCCCCCTCAATAGACTTTACCAAACCCGAGTGGCGCAGTGGTCTAAGGCGGGATGGGGAGGGATGTAGCTCAGTTGGTAGAGCATGGCGTTTGCAACGCCAGGGTTGTGGGTTCGATTCCCACGGGGGGCCAGTATGAAAAAAATAAAATAATGTATGCACTCACTAACTGTAAGTCGCTCTGCTAAAGAGCGTCTGCTAAATGACAAAAAAAAAAAAAAAGTGGCAAGGTCAGACTGTTGAAATTACATATTGTACCTTTAACAATTTGCATGACATTATACATTAGGTGATATACATATGTATGATGATACATTATGTAGCCTATCTTTTCTATTAACTCACTTCCAGTTGATCAATGTCCAGCCACAAATATCACACTTTACATACAGGGACAAATGACAAATTATGCCTTTAACCGTCTGCATTACATTAGAGTATAGGCCACTGAATTAGAAAAGTAAAACATATTTTGTTTTGAATAAACAGCACTCATTTCAAAACATCCAATATTTCTGCTTCAATCCCTCCAGCAGAAATTAGCTCAAAATTGAGATACCAAATAGTCCTACTCATCAAATTGACTATTTCACCTTTCACCCACATATTTTATTTAAACTGAAACTCAACTAGTGAATGATACCTATGGGACAATTAATTAGGTTAATAAATATACATTTCATTTAATTGTAGTCTCCCAAAATGACAAGTCAAATGGATCAAGTCTGTCTTACGATCTTTCAGTTAGTCCATGACCAGAGTGACATTTTATACTGATTCAAGTTTTACACCTATTTTCTGTCAAATTACTTTAGTTAAAGTTGCCAGGTTAAAGGATTTCCTATAATGTTTTGATTTTTCTGTCAAGCAGCACACACATAAGTTAATGTATATGTCCTCTTACATTTTTATTTGGGGTGTAAAGAGACTGTGAAAATAATGTTTTGAAATAAACATGGTTATTGTGAGAAAAAAATCATTAAAAAAGTTACAGAAAAATAAATACACAAATA